GGTGGAGTCTAAATAGTTGGAGTAGGACTCACTGACAGACATATTTCAGACTCAGGACTTGCATTATGCCTGGTACACGCTACACGCTGGTACTCACCAATTATCCCCGGTCGTCTTTCACGGCATGTGTGATGTCATCGGGTTATTCTTGTCCTATTTTTATTACTTTCACTATTATTTGAGTCACTACCAGAGCTGTGTCTGTTTATGTGCCAGCCTACATGTTGTTGTAGTCACCTAAAAGCATCAGCAGATGGCAGGAGCTACATTTGAAGCGCCATACGTAAACTATCAAGTTACTGTATCTTCCACAGGAAGTTCTGACAAATGTTTCAGAATAAAAGCCTATTTAGAAAATGGAGGGATTCTCTCAGCCGAGGTTATAAGGGGCTTTTAATTTGAAACAAGTGTTGAGTTTGAAATGACGGTGTGATATGTTAACTTTATAAAGACAACGGAGCAGATAAAAAGTAAATATATAAACACACAGAGCGATTAATAAATAACGGACTGTCTATAATGTAATTTGTTTGAAATGAAGCTGGGAGCCTCTGCAGTTGTGGTGAGTAAAAGCCCCGCCGCTATTTGTTAATGTTATTACTTTATGTCCGACCGTGAGGATGTACCATTGTTTGCTAGCTTGATGCTAATGACAGTAACGTTAACTCAGCAGGTTGACAAAGTGCCTCTGCTGTTTCACACCATCATTTCCCCCTTTTACTCTGTGTGGTAACATCCCTAGAGGAAATATTAAAAATGCTGGGGTGTTGTTGTCATACAGTTGTCTACGGCAGCAGATCGTTCTGTGTTTCTACAGGTCAAAGTGACAGCTGTGATGGGAGAATTGGATCTCAGTGAAGGGCAAGTGGTCCATAACTTTAATTCTGGAGACAAAAAAATGTAGGCTTAGCGCCCTGTGGTCCATTGCCCAATAGGAAATGTAGAATACTGAAAAGTACTTTAAAAGTGCTTGAGTTACTTTTCTCAGGGAGTAATGTTGGAAGTACTTTTAAAGTAATTGAGTTACTTTACTCGGGGAGTAACGCAGTAAAGTAACGCAGTAATGTACTTTGATTACTTTTAAAGTAACCCTTACCCAACACTGGTCTTGTCATACAAAGTTTGACGAGTGTCAACTGGACAATATGGAGATGTTTGCATCTTGAAAGCCGGACTACAAATGTGGATAGACAGGGAGAAACACACGCAAGCCTAAGAAGTGGTAAGATACGATATTCCTCACTATATGAAGTGACTGATCGAAATTCGTCAGGTTTTTATTTTGTAGACAATCAATCTGTATTTATAGCGTGATAAGATGACAGCACAATGATGTGTGTGGTATCACTGGAAAGCTCTAGTCCTGCGCTTTCATGTGATATGCGTGGCATTTCTGTGCGAGCCTGCATTCGCAACTAATCCATCTATCTGTTATACATCATTTCAGTGTAACTTTATCATTTTTTTCACTGTGAAAACAATGGACTACCAACAAGTGCTTGGTCTTGTCGGAAAGCTACAATTCCGCTGTGATATGTGTGGCTTCTTGCTATGACACACGGTTGCGGAGAAAATCAATAGAGAAGAACAAGTGTGAATTTGGACGCACTATGCGTCGTTTGGGCTCATAGGGTTAAGCGAGTTTCAGGTTTTGTTCTAAGACATAAAACACGTCAGTAAATACCCTACTTGTGAATTTTGAAGCTTTTACGTGTCGTAAAAAAGGCGGTTGCTAACAAGTTGCTCAATACGACTACAAACCCTGTCGGGAACATTAAACATCATCACCCCAGAACAGGCGAGAGTGCTGGCAGTCCACCATTACAGCTTCTTATTTAGCTTAAAGGGGCAATAAACAAAATCATTTCACCGCTAGGTTTGCTGTTGTGAACTGCCTGTAGAGCAAAACAAAGTGTGTCATGAGCCACACCTCCCTCTACCTCTGCTCTCCAATACCCCCCACCTCCCCCACTTGCCTCGTCTGTGCCGCCGAGCACCGCAGCATCTCCACGGACTATCACATCCAGACGGTCCCGGTGTTTTTTCCGCAGGCTCCGCTTCACTCAGCTTCACTCAGCTGCCCGATATACCCACTGCTTCTTCCCACATTAACCTGAATAACAAACCAGGGCTCGGTGCTCTGGTTGGATCCAAACGGAGAGCCGCTAGCTGGGAAGCTAGCGGAGGCTAACTGGGAGGAGGAAGCACCGGTTAGCCCCCGCTTTCACTGCAGGCAGATTCACTCGCCACAGGGGCGAGGAAATAAAACCTAAACAGCCAACTTAGTTTGGCTTAGTTTAGAAGTTAGCGATGTCTTTCACTCACTCTCGGTCTCTGCTGTGTTTAGCTATTTCCCTGCTTTCCTGTTAGCGTTAGCACTACTTGGCTGCCACGCTAATGCTCCAACTCCAACTGAGCCGGGAGCCCGTGAGCGGCAGGCTCACTGTCTCGCGGAAAAGAGTTGGAACGTTAGCATGGCAGCCGACTAGTGCTAACGTCCCTACGCTTCTCCAGGCTGGCCAGGCTCAGTGAGCCGGAGCCGAGAAGCGTGGGGATGTTAGCATTAGCACTAGTCGGCTGCCATGCTAATGTTCCGGGAGCCTGCTTAAGCATGGGGACGTTAGCGTTAGCACTAGTCGGCTGCCATGCTAACGTTCCAACTCTTCTCCATGAGACCGTGAGCCTGGTGGGCTCACAGGCTCCCGGCTCCGGCTCACGGAGAAGAGAGGAATGTTAGCGTTAGCTCCCAGAGTTAGCACTAGAGCTACTACAGCTACTGGAGTAGCTTGCAGCTATGGAATGCTTCTACCAGCTTTTTTAGTCACTGAGCCTCACCTCCATTTCAGCAAATATATTGCATTTATTACAGGTACCATCATCACTGAAGTAGGCAGGGGAATAGCTAAACACAGCCGCCAGGCTGCCCACCGGGCTACATTTTAAAATGCTAATTGCAAATGTTAGCTGGGCTGCCGGGCTACTCACCTAACACAACCGCAACGCCTGACCCATTGCTGGGACCGAGCCACTAATAACTCAAGCTCCAGACATCAACCCATGCTAGGATTGTAACATTAAATTTAATTGAATCGACATAGCGACATGTGCTTAACGTTACTGTAACACTAGTTAAAACAGACATTTGACTTTATGTTGTACCTGTCCAGGAGAAGAAGAGCTAGCTCCGAGTCAGATTGTAGCCCCTTTAGCTCTTGCAGTGCTCTCCACCTTAGAAATGCAAGGCCAATGTTAATCCGGGTTCTGTCTGACAACTTCTTTGCCAACAACCGTTGTTTCTTTAGAGGTAATGTCAGATCCTGGTCGTCTTCAGGTGGATGTTCTGCTTTCTGCCATTTCATTTCGAAAATACGTGCTGCCATTGCTCACTGGCTATAGCCTTTTAAAGGGAGGGAAGGCCAAGGGCTCCGGGGGGGGGGGGGGGGTTCACATGAACGGTACATGAATGCGCAGCTGGACCGGCTGGAGATCAACACAGAGAGAGGGTATGTGAGGTCATGCTATACTCCAGATGAAATTACACCTCTAGTTCTTCACATAGCAATTTTTTAATTCCTTCAATCTAGAAATGATGAATTTCGCAAATTGCTCCTTTAAACAGTCCGATTTCCCTATACAATGTTTTTTAAAATAAAGCGGCCGAAATCAGTTGAAAGCTTAGTGGCAGTGACTTCAAGAGTCATGCAACCGTGGAGTAGTCATGTAGTCCGTTAAAGCCTAACATTAGCTTTTTACTTCTGGCGATCACATTTAAGCTTCAAATGCGGTATGAAAGGTGATCATATGTGAAGATTATCTAACTGAACAAAACCTGTAAGTATCATAAACTTGTGTTAGCCAAAGAGCTTAATTTCTGACATAATCCAAAACGCAATGCAAAAATCACATTCACTTTCTCTTCCGGGAACCAGTGAGATGCTAAACTACCGGGATTTGATGTCAGCCCTTGTACACTCTATTCCTCCGATCATCATGCATACACCGAGCATCCTCTCCCGCCTACCGCTCCATTAGGTCCCAGGGAAGCTGAGCCTCCCTGGAAGTGACAATTTTGTCGCATTTATCCAATGACCGTCTCGCTTTGCTGCATGAAAAAAACCTGCTCAGCGCTGACTCATAGAAATAGTTGGAGGCTCCGCGTCAACCGTGCTGACACAAGAATGTATGACAGGGAGGTCGTGGTTGAAAACTGAAAATTGCATTCATGATAATAAAATTAATCCAAGGTCACAGCGACCTTGACATATGACCTTTCACCACTAAAATCTAATTAGTTCAATGTTGAGTCTAAGCAGATGTGTGTACTAAATGTGAAGAAATTCCCTCAAGTTGTTTTTGAGGTATAACATTCTCAAGAATAAAAGGTCACAGTAACCATGATCTTTGACCTATGACCACCAAAATCTAATCAGTTCATTGTTGAATCCACGTTGTGCCAAATTTGAAAAAAATTCTTTCAAGGCATTCATGATATATTGCATTCACAATAATGTGACGAAACCGAAAACATTACACCTCCAGCCACGGTTATCACTGGCGCGGAGACATAAAAAGACAGTGGCACCAAAAATAATGATTGTTTTTTAGAGCTCCCCCTAAATTTCTCAAATGAGGCTTTCTGAGAGTTCATGGCTCTTTCAAGGGAGCTGAGCTCCTCAGAGCTCCACTGTATTGCATATTGGTCTTAGAGGGTAATGGTGTTTAAACATGTGACATGGTGCAAAGCTAGCTTGTGCAATTTGTTATTCATACATGCTGTGTTGGTGGTAAATACTTGTCATAGTAATGACGCGGGTAATAAGCATCCTGTCACATAATCCTCAGTTGCTCTAAGTTGATGTAAGAACCTATTTACTAAAATTTCACTTTATTCCTCCTTGCTGTGGGAAAGCTCCATGACTCAAGGTGATTATGTTCATGATCCAACTATCACTGATTTAAGAAATGGCACCACGTCATGTATTGTGTCCCCAGTTTCTCACCTGTAGGCCTCTATTAGCCGCTCCACCTTCTGTGCTTCTCCCTGCACTCTGATATGTGCCTGGAATTTCCTGAGCGCTTCGTCCAGCTCCATACCTGAGAAGTCCATTTCATCCACCACGCAGCTGTTCCAAAAAACACACATTTCACGGTAAGTGGGAAGATCAGTTTGAATATCTTGATTGTTTAAGAAAAGTGTATAGAATTCAGTAATGTATAGCTGCCTTTACAACCATCAGCTGCAGCTATAGACTGCTACAGTTCCTTTTTAATATTAACATTCAATATGAAAGATGGCTGCTGCTGTTAGGTAAAAATCTCCAAAATCTATACTTTTACCAAAAACAGCCTTGTTTCAGCTCAAATACAGAATTCTTTGTGAATGTCCTCAGCCTGTAACTCTTTTTTCTTTATTTCCATCCTTTTTTGGAAAATAAAAAAAATCCTAAATGTAAAAATGTCCCTTCTTTAACTTTTGACATTTGAGCACATTTTACCGAACCTAATCTTACAGAAATGACCACAACCTTTTAACACCACATTATGTGGTGGTGACATGTAATGTGATGAAGTTACATTGCAGTTGCAATTAGAAACACATGGTTACTGTTGTGAGATGGTAGCAGCTTCATTTCGGCAGTTTAGGCACCAAAACTACTTTAGAAAGAGATCATAGTATTTTTGTTATGTACAGGACAGAAGTCGTAATGTGTATCTATGTAAGTGTGTAAAGAAAGTAAAGCACACAAGTATATAAAGATAAAATAAGTCAACGCCGACTTTTGGTTTCATATGTGACATAAACGGCAGTCTCCTGGGTAAAAGTCCTGTATTTGTTTGTCCCATCTTACCCCAACCTATGTGTAATTTTTAGGGCTGACCAGAATGTTTTGAAGCTCTGCAGCCTCAGTCCTCTCTGGTTTGAAGCCATCTTTGATTGAGCCATCTTGTAGTTCTCTGTTGTCAGCCATTTTGTTTTGTAGGCCAGACAGCCTTTGTTTCTCACACACACACACACACACACACACACACACACCCACACACCTCTCTCTCTCTGTCTCTCTCTGTCCGTCTGTCCGTCTGTCTGTCTGTCTCAGTCCGTCCGTACTGCTAACACATTTACTTTACTTATAGCAGCATTATACATTTTTACAACAAGCTCAACATCACATACACATTTGACATGTTATCTCAGTATTATAGCGAAAGAGTTAGTAAATAGTTGCCCATTTACCCAACAAGTAGACAAAAATCAATATTAGCATTAGTTGGAGTCTCTGGCAACAGGATATATGTAAGTGAAATATTTACTCTCCCTGTTGCTCTGATTTGGTATCCATGAGAAAAATATCAGGCTGTTTAGTTGCTAAATGTTCCATTCATTTCATCTTTGTCTGGAGTTTGGTTTTGGACAAGAATTGTACATTGTATCAGAGATTTTTAGCCAGAAACAGCTACCTGCTGCTGAAATTGATTTTCATGAGAGCAGTAAGAGTGAACTAAAACAACAACAGTGATTACAACCAAGAACAATGACCTTAAAAATACTAAAAAGCTTCATAGAGCAGAGGATAATTGCAGAGCTGGGTGATATTTTTTGTCAGTTTGTCACCACAAGTGACCCTTTCAAAGTACACATCCTCATTTGCCCCACAGTTCATTTCAAAATACTGATTAGTGCAGCTATAATGCAGGACTTTTACCTACAATGGATCATTTTCTTTTGTGATATGGACACTTTTACTTAAACAAAGAACCTGAGAACTTCTTCTTCTATGCTGAAGTGAGGATTGTGGCTTAGTTCTCCAGAGCCCTGATACCTTGACACTTGCATGTCAGGATTTATAGACATTTCCTCAAGGAGCATTTGAGATATGCCTGTCAAACTGACACTGACAGACCTTTCTTGGCCTTATCTTGCACTAAATCTCAGTGGGCTCTAATAAAACTGGTGCACTTCAAATGTGTTTCAGTTAAGTCTGTCCAATCTAGAGCATAAAGTAGAAAGTGAATTTGAAAATCACTGCTGAAAAAAACAAGATCTTTATGACTTCCCTTTCTCATTAAAAGGAGTGAAGAATGTACAGTAAAGGGAGTCTGTATATTTATCTGAGCATCACAGCAACGTCCTGAGTGGATTCTATCTCTGTTTATTTCCTGTATGTAACTTAAGTCATTATGTAGTACTCAGAAACTCCAAACTCCATCTAGGAAAGAGTGTGGATTGCGAATTGGCAGCCTTATTTGCAACTAAGTGATGATGTATGTTAATGTTCCTGGGAGGAAGATAAAACTGTTTTAGAGAACTTTAGGGTTGAGACAAAATGATCCATCTCCACATATCAAAGGGTGCAAAGACATAACTCGCTGAGTAACTCACTCGAGGACATCTCGGTTGAATTGTTTCTGTCTGTTACCCAGGAACTCGCCAATCATCTGCCTACTCAAACCTTTCCTCTGGAGCAGGAAGTGAGCCACACCCACTGGAGTGTCTGGAACAAAGTTTCGCTCTATCAGATACTGGATGCCTTTTTCTGGTTTCCTTTAGACATAGGATAGGGTAGAGACAGACAGACAGGCAGAGAGAGACAAAACGGGAATGAGTGAGGACACAATCCAAATCTGTGATTATCCCACTGCACTTCTGCCACTGGCCAAATGTGTGTCAGATGAGGGACAGGATTTAGGGAGGCAGGGAGGGAGGTGGTGGGACAGGGTGAGGGCCGGGAATGGGGAGGAAGGAGCTACTTTTCTCTGCAGTGGTGATCACAAATGATTAAAAGTAATTTAATGGACAGCTCTGGAAGAAGCCAAATCCACGATCATTTATGATTAAATGGAATCACAGAGGCTCAGATGAGACACTCTGTGTGAAGTGGAGCAAAATGAGTCCCAAGCTTGTTTGCACCTCAAGTAGAACTGATAGATAGTTGTTTTTCCATCCACATTTACTGTGCATAACAGTTTCATGTTGGGCTCTGTAACAAAAAGCATTCCCTAAAACATTACTAGTGGACTGCAGCTATTTGCATGAGCTCATCTGTCCCTCATTGGCTATGTAATGTGTGACTGTGTAATTCTGAGGCTAAAAGGTACAGGCATGTACAAACAGTGTATCAGATTATGTCTGGCTCTGTGTTAGCAGTTTGTTAATGGATCTCGTGTAGTAGAGTGTACATACTTGTTGAAGAGGTTTAGGCCAATGCGGTAGTGCCTCTTGCGGATGATGTCATTACTGAAGGCAGGTGAGTCCCAGCTGTTGCGAGTCTCTTTGTGGTACGTCTGCTTGCTAAGTGTCTGCTCCCTCAGGCTGTCCCTGGATGAGGACTCAGAGCTGCAGTTGATGGTGTCGTTGGAGTTGGATGTGCTGTTGATGCTGTCGTTGTCACCATCAGAAAAATCTGACTCTGACTTGCTCTGCCGGTTTGCGGTGCCATTGATGGCGAGGTGGGCCTCCAATTGTCGTGGCCGATGGCAAGTGGCATCCTCGCCGGAAGGCCCTCGAGGCGGCAGGCTGTGGCTGATGTGTTTGGGGCTGCTCTGCTGGTTGCTGAGGCTCCGCTCATAGGCGTTCTGTCTCTTCAAAGAGCTGCGGTCAGAACGATCACTCAACTCCACTGAGCTGTCGCTTGGAGGCTCAATGGTCAGTAAGGGTAGGTGATCTACCCGCAAGCGCTGCTCTTGGCACTCCAGAGATGGTGTACTGCGGCAGCTGGTGTCTGTGTCCCCTTTCTCATCATTATGAGCCAATGACCAGTAGTCCTGGGAGGAATTGAGGGAATGCTGACGGAAGTCCGATTCTGTGCTGGAGGGCCGGTCCACAGATTGAGACAGGGGCAGTGGCGGTGACAGTTCCTCTTCATCAATGTACAGGGTAACATCGCTGTAAGATGCCGTCATCTCATCCAGTTTGCGGTGTTCTGAAGTGCTGTGGGAGGGTTTCACCTGACAGCCGACCTCTCTGTCCATATCCTGGTGGCCTCTACCCGGCTCCAGCTGGTTGTCATCACCATGTAGACTACGACAGTTTAGAGCATCATCTATGGACTCAGCTAGAGATTTGACCTGCCTGGAGAACGCATCTTCTAGTTCTGTGATAGCATCTGTGAAGTCGCTCTGTGTCGTGGGGGTCTTGGCCTGCACCCCCATCTCCCCACCATGCTCTGGCTTTACCAGTGCACCAATTTTAGTGCCATCATCTGTTAGGGAGACCTGCTTTCCTTCGAAGTAGGAGCTGTGGACTTTTTCAGGTCCTTCGAAGGAAAACTGCATTCTCATATTGGATAGGACAATCCGTCTGGACATACGGTTCTCAGACATAGAACTTCTAAGACGCTCAAAGTTTTTGTTCATCTGGTACTGGCGGAAGGCTGTTTGGATGGTGCGGGCTGCATGCCGAGTTATGAAACGCCCACCATATTTACGCTCTAGCATCTCCACCTGCGGGTAGAGCGGGAAAGTTTATGTCATAAATACAGCTAAGAAACAAGTGGGAGCAGTCTACATTTTGCCTTAAATGCATCCTTATGGAAATCAAACCTTGAAAATGTTCTCTGTAATGGGACAACTGGTGATAGTGATCCCAAGTGAAAACAGGGATGATGAATACGTAATATCCTGAAAGTTGCTGCATACTTCACCCAGAATCTTTTTAGTTTCAAACAAAAGAGGATGTTCATTCCAGAGTCCATTTCCATGTTGGAAACCCAAGGTCCACTTAGATTCTCCAGAACTATCAACCACATCTGACATTCTTCATTAGTACATAGAGTTTGCTAAGTTGTCATGGAGATGGCTTGGCTAGTTTATCATGTTACCTTAGTATGGAACTTTGATCACATGATGCTTAGGTCGTGTGATGATGACAGATAAAGAGAAAAGTTAGTTAACGGCAGTGATAATTTTGACAGCTATTTAAGATTTACTTTTAGTCTTAAGATGAAAATGCTTGTTAGTTTTAGTCACATTTAGTCATTTTTTTAATCCTTCATGGTTTTGGTCTAGTTTTAGTTTATGAAAATTCAAAACGTTTGAGTTGATGAAAAATCATGACATTTTAGTCAACTTTCAGTCATTATGTTTTCAATGTTTTTAATTGTTAAACTAATCCAGTTAGGCTAATTCTAATACAAAATCTCAGCTAATGTATCAGAAATTAGAATCAAAGTGACAGGTTGTATAAAAATTTCATTTAGACAGTTTTTTCTACAACTACAAATAATTTCTACACACTTAAAAACTGTCATTTCTCCAGCATTGTTTGACAGGTTTAAAGGGTGACTTATGAGCACACACGTACTGATCATGATTTGTAAAGCTCAACATCTCTCTATTTATTTTCTCAAAAACTTTGACACCACAAACAACTAATCTGAGACAACTAGGATTTGTGTCCAGGTTCAGTGTACACTCTGACTTATCGGCCTCACTGTTAAGAAGCAGAAAAATAACTTAACTGAACTCTTTCTTAATCTGCTACATGTCAGTCTGGAGGTTTAAATTCATGTCCTCTCACAGAGTTGGTGATTAAAACTAAACTTTCATCTCTGTCATACAAAACTGATCTGAATTCAGACTGTTTACTTACAGCACAGCCACACTCACAGATAACTGAGCCTCCTACCTGCCTGTCAAACAGCATCAAACCATAAACCTTCTCCAGTCTGGACTGAGACCAGTGATGCTTGCTCTGCTGCCATTCAGCAAAACATCCTGGCACAGACTACTTACTAGAGTTTACCAGCCTGTCGCTCATGCAGCATTTGAAGATGATTACAAACACGGTTGCTCTCGGCTTTCAGTGTCTGATAGTCTACCACTAACATTTTTGTCACGTCTTATCAATGAAGATGAAACACAGATTTCGTCTTAGTTTTATTATCAAGATCTATTTAAACTTGTCATCGTCTTGGAAAAAAGTTTTTTTTTAGTTTTCGTCAACAAATTAAGACTGGTTAATGGACCTTGATTTAAGATTATTTTCTCAAACCTATAGAGGATAAGTGTCTGTGACACAAAATAGTTTTGTTTGGTGTATCACTTAAAATAACTCTCCATCTGGAACATATACTCTGGAACAAACGCTGTTTTAAACTGGCTACAAAAGAAATATTGCCTTGGAAACATGTATTAGACAGAATGAGGCTGTCTTATCTGCTTTTGCCATACCTTCAACACTCAAGAAGATTGGTAATGACATTTAAAAATGGTTTGAATTTAGGGTTTATTAGACTCGAATAGACCCCTGGGGAAGATGGATTATGTTGAGTTGTGATAGAAATGCAGTTTGACCGATAAATGGTAATGGCCCAAATAATGATGAGAAATTTGAGCTGGTTATGACTTATTAAAAAAAGATGCACAAAATACGATGTGTTTGCAGTGTTTAAATATCTCTTAAAAGATGGATGAAAATTACCATACTTGTAAGGACTCAGTCAGGTGTACGTTCTATAGTGAACATTAAACTAAAATCACTAGAAAGACATCATTAAACTAAAGTGATATTCCTATTCATTCAAATAAACACAAGAAGTTTGTGCTCTTGTGTTTATTTGAATGAATAATTGAGCAGTGTCCAGGGCTGTTTTCCATTAGCTCTTCTCTCAGCCCTGTGCCTTTTACACACTGACCCAGTTTTCCACCCACAGTATGGACTAGTGGAGTAGAATGACACTAATCATGTTTCCCTTTACCATGTGAGGGTCGGGAGGCCAGTGGACTCAAACTTGCCACAAGGGACATGGACCATGACAGTGAGTCTCACTGCACAAGGCTACAACTTTCATTGCTTAACAAGAGGGCCAGTGTCCTTCCCACACAGGCAGCCACAAGGCCAAATCAGACTATTATTATATGACTTTTATTTGACCACCACGAGGAACTTCAGCCTCATAATACCTTGAAATACCATAGGGTTACCACAGTCATGGAAAACCTGGAAAAATCATGTAATTACACAATCTCTTGGAACTGGTAAAAATCATTGAAAGTTTTGGAAAACTCATTGAATTTTGTTGTTTGTAATTTAATCAGCTAGTTATTAAAGAATAAAATGAAGTGATGACATTTATAACATATTACTTTATTTTATATCCAAAAAGTCAAAGGCCAACTTCACTGTGACATCATAATGTTCTGCATAAAACACTTTTCTGGTCATTATTCAACATCATATCTCATGAACAGAAGGGGAGACTCTTACTTAGATACTGAATTAATGACACTAATCTTGAAAATGTGCTGATTGTATAAATCTTCTGTGCTGTCAGGGGAAAGATGTGTGTGAAGCATCCATGTTTTCACAGACATGGATGTAATCTGTAGGTGCAACTTGACTGGTGCACGGAGGCATACAACCGCAGGGTGGCAAACCCAGCGCAGAGCTAGTTTCGAGCAGCGCAACCCGAGGCGCGCTCAGTTTGGTAATTTGGCAGACCGAGGTGCGCTGAGATGGGTGTGGAGGAGCAGCAGGGGGAGGTGTAAACAGATACAGCTTGGCACAGTGACAATTTAATGCCAAAAGGCTTCGCAGAAGGTGCGCTAAAAGCTCGCCAGCTGAAACCACGTCTACTGTCAGCGCAGGCGGAGCGCAGCCGGTGTAAGCCGAAGTTTGGCTGACCGGCGGACAGTGCGCATACGTCACCAAAACCTCACAGGCAGGTTTCCAGAATATCAGGCACATTAACGATGCAATAAATACCCAAAAAAACACTATTCAATGCAACTATCTGCAATCAGCACATAAATGTATCTATATCCCATCACATCTGATGTCAGATCAAAGGGGATTGGCACCGTTTGGCACATTTGGCATGCGTAATGGAAACCCAACCTGATTTAATTAACACAGCTGCAAACTAATGAGTTCACATCCCTCTCAGCCAACCACAAACAGCCACAGCATCAGATAGGGAGTATATATTCAGCATCTGTCATCTTAGAAAAGTCAAAAGAAAAGAAACAGAGTGAGACTGCGAGAGAGAAAGAGCGCACGAGAGAAAAGCAACATTGATTTACAATTGTGGTGACCTCCTCCCAGGCTATCCTTGCATCATCAGCCTGTGGAGGTCTGCTCGCAGTTCCGTATATTCGGACACTGCGAGCTTGGACCTCCCGGACCAAAACATCAGTTTCCTCCTGGGAGAAGTTCGGCCATCTGACACTGCTGCTCTCTTCTGCCATGGCGAATTGAGTAAACTCTCAATACGCCTTCGCGCAGCGCATTTAAGGGCAAGGAGAGGGGCTCATTTGATTGGTGTGATGTGTGTAAAACCCACTCCACGCCTCCACTCCTCCCTCTTTCTGACTTGCGCAGGTAGGAGGGACGGAGGTGGGAAAGAGGAGTAGCTGTGCCAGCGTGCACGGTGTGCCAAACTTGCAAAATCAGCCTGGCCACACCCAGTTGGCGAAGCGCAGGTGCGCTGCGCCCCTGCCTCGCCTGGTCTGCAAAACTAGAGCCCTACAGGTTAACAATGGGACTAATTACTACATATAAGCTTGTAGTAAAAAACCCATAAAACTCTGCAGTTTCTTTCAACACTGCAAAGCATTTTAGTGTCTTTTAGCTCATTGTTTTGGTTTTCCAGCCCAAAACTGAACTGTTTTGGTTCAGTCTCAACACTCTCATCAACTTTTATTAGCAAAGACAGCTGTTTTTAGCTGCTAACCCAAACAGCAGACAAAGTTAAGACATTTGCTTGAAATTCTGTGGTAATCAGTGTATGAGTTATGGACAAAAACACAGTGTGTGAGGTCACAGTGACCTTTGACCTTCAACCACAAAATTCTAATCAGTTCACTCTTGACTACAAGTGTTTTTTTGTGCCAAATTTGAGGAAATACCTTCAAGACCTTCTTGAGATATCTTGTTTACCAGAATGAGACTAAGATCACAGTAACCTTGACCTATGACTACCAAAGTCTAATAACTTCATCCTTGACTTAAAGCGGACATTTGTGCTAAATTTAAAAACAAAAAAAAAAAATGTAATGGTGTTCTTGAAATATCGGGTTCACAAGAGTCATACAGACAAGACAGACAACATCACACTGACCTTGACCAATGCCTATAAAAATCTAATCAGTTAATCATTGAAACCAGGTGGACATTTTTGCTAAATTTGTGGAAATTCCCCTTAAGGTCCTCTTGAGATATTGTGTTCAAGAGAAAGAGACTTACATGAGGTCACAGTGGCCTTGCCTCCGACCTACGACTACTAAAGTCAGTTCATCATTGAGTCCAAGTGGACATTTGTGCCAATTTTAGAAATTCCCTCAGTTCCAGTTCTCAAGATATTTGCGGTCACGAGAGTGGGATGGATGGAAAGACAGACAACCTGAAAACATAATGCCTCCAGCCACAGCTTGCTGGTGTGGATGCATAGAAATCCAAACCAAAATTATTCTGAATTGAAGGTAAAATTTTGATTTTGGGTTCTGTCTGATAGAAAAATAAATTTATTTTCATTATTTTAAATGTGACTTAACATACATTGTCTATATTATGATACATATATCATGTTGTTATTAGAATCTCATTTAATCTGGACAGACAGTCTCAAAACTTATAAGAGGGGCCTCCGCAATGCCAGAGCAAACTATTACTCAGCATTAATAGAAGACAATAAGAACAACCCCAGGTTTCTTTTCAGCACTGTAGCCAGGCTGACTGAGAGTCAAAGCTCTATTGAGCCTTGTATTCCTTTAGCCCTTAGCAGTAATGATTTTATGAGCTTTTTTAATGACAAAATTCTAACTATTAGAGGCAAAATTCATGACCTCCTGTCCTCAGATAGTACCTATCTAACCTCAAACACAGCTGTAAAACCTAATATATATTTAGATTGCTTCTCACCAATTTCTCTTCAAGAATTGACCGCAGTGATTTCTTCATCTAAATCATCAACGTGTCTCTTAGACCCCATCCCAACTAGGCTACTTAAGGAGGTCTTTCCTTTAGTTAACATTCATATATTAGATATGATCAATATATCCTTATTAACAGGCTATGTACCACAGTCTTTTAAGGTAGCTGTAATTAAACCTCTACTAAAAAAGCCCACCCTGGATCCAGAGGTGTTAGCCAACTATAGACCAATATCTAATCTTCCCTTTATGTCAAAGATCCTTGAGAAAGTAGTCGCAGACCAGCTGTGTGATTTTCTCCATGATAATAATTTATTTGAGGAATTTCAGTCAGGATTTAGAGTGCATCATAGCACTGAGACAGCACTAGTTAAAATTACAAATGACCTTCTGATTACTTCAGACAAAGGACTTGTCTCTGTACTTGTTTTATTAGATCTTAGTGCGGCATTTGACACAATTGACCATCAAATTCTACTGCAGAGACTGGAACACTTAATTGGCCTAAAAGGTTCTGCACTAAGCTGGTTTAAATCTTATTTATCTGATCATTTTCAGTTTGTTGAAAATGATCTATGTACCAAAGTTTGTTTTGGAGTTCCGCAAGGTTCTGTGCTCGGACCAATCCTATTTACTCTATATATGCTTCCTTTAGGTAACATCATTAGAAATCACTCTATAAATTTCCATTGTTATGCGGATGATACTCAGTTGTATTTATCGATGAAGCCAGAAGAAAGTAATCAATTAACTAAACTCCATAACTGCCTTAAAGACATAAAAACTTGGATGAGCACCAATTTCCTGATGTTAAATCCAGACAAAACTGAAGTTATTGTTCTTGACCCCAAACAACTCAGAGACTCTTTATCTGATGACATAGTTTCTCTAGATGGCATTGCTCTGGCCTCTACCACTACCGTAAGAAACCTCGGAGTAACATTTGATCAAGATTTGTCTTTTAATTCTCATTTAAAACAAACCTCACGGACTGCATTTTTTCATCTGCATAATATTGCGAAAATTAGGCCTATCCTGACCCAAAAAGATGCAGAAAAATTGGTCCACGCTTTTGTTACCTCAAGGCTGGATTACTGTAACTCTCTATTATCTGGTAGCTCTAGTAAGTCCTTAAAAACTCTCCAGCTAATTCAGAATGCAGCAGCACGTGTACTAACAGGAACTAAGAAACGAGATCATATTTCTCCTGTTTTAGCTTCTCTGCGCTGGCTCCCTGTAAAATCCAGAATTGAATTTAAAATCCTATTGTTAACTTATAAAGCTCTAAATGGTCAAGCTCCGTCATATCTTAGAGAGCTCATAGTGCCATATTATCCCACCAGAACACTGCGCTCTGAGAACGCAGGGTTACTCGTGGTCCCTAAAGTCTCCAAAAGTAGATCAGGAGCTAGAGCCTTCAGCTATCAGGTTCCTCTCCTGTGGAATCATCTTCCTGTTACGGTCCGGGAGGCAGACACCGTCTCCACATTTAAGACTAGACTTAAGACTTTCCTCTTTGATAAAGCTTATAGTTAGGGCTGGCTCAGGCTTGCCCTGTACCAGCCCCTAGTTAGGCTGACTTAGGCCTACTCTGCCGGAGGACCCCCCTATAATACACCAGGCACCTTCTCTCCTTCTCTCTCTCTCTCTCTCTCTCTCGTATCCTATTACTGCATCTTGCTAACTCGGCCATTGTGGATGTCACTAACTCGGCTTCTTCTCCGGAGCCTTTATGCTCCACTGTCTCTCAGATTAACTCATATCGCAGCGGTGCCTGGACAGCGTGATGTGTGTAAAGGGGTTTTTTTGCGGAGTTTTTCCTTTACCGCTGCGAGGGTCATAAGGACAGAGGGATGTCGTATGCTGTAAAGCCCTGTGAGGCAAATTGTGATTTGTGATATTGGGCTTTATAAATAAAATTGAAAATTGAATTGAATTGTTATTAATATTGTGATAATTTCAAATATACCAGCCAGCCCCGTATTTGGTATTTATGGATGGAAGCTGTCTTTGTGTACCCCCCCTAACCTGCTTGTCCTGAAGGTCTGACGAGAGCTCATAGCTCTCTGACAATGAGCGGGAGCGCTTGATGGCCTCCTCCTCTGCCTGCTTGCGCAGGATGGACTGGGAATGCTGAAGCTTGGGTCGACGGGGCCGCAGGTGACTGGGCAGCAAGATTTGTCCGCAGAGCTGGCTGTCCAGGTGATCGGGGCCAAGCCCCCTGCTGTGGGTCACTGGGATGCAACCGTAGCCGCTGCCGGAATCCACAGAGGCACCCACCTGGCTACCTGGAGCATCACCTTCCACACTGTAGTATGCAGAGAAACACTGGGTTAGTTTGCTGAGTCATTTTATTGAGGGCCTGCACTGCTTTTTATTTTTAGAAAGAAGCACATGACAGATAGAAGAGGTGAATTTTGATACTGCTGGCAGTGTATAAATATGAATAAGAGAGTTTATAGCCAGCAGTCTGACTGCTGCCTGTCATCTTTAGACATTCCCTTTACAATGCAGAAAACTGTACCACTGTGTCTTAATGAGATGAAATTAAAGGATAACTTAGGTACAACTCGTTCTAAAATTGGTTCAGTATTGAGGGAGGCGGATGCAGCCGGCAGCCGCGAAACGAGCTAAAACGGTAACGGGGGCAAATGCGTCCCATATAAGTTTGCGCATTAAAAGTGCTATTTTCCGCCACTGACTGGTTCAGATCGCCAGTGCTATCTCTGTAGATAGCATACTAAGCGTTTCCCTGACCCTTCACCTCCTCCCGGCTGTGACGTCATCTCGCGAGAGCTTTGCTTGTTGCCAGAAAAAAACACAGGTGCCATGCTGAGCGCCACTCAGAGTGGTGCTGGTTGTCCCGGAGTACAGTTGAGAGTTTTACTGCATCGATTGAAAACAATGGTTCGTGTTTGTGCTTATTCGAATTGCAAGAACAGGATGTCGCGCAACACTACAGCTTTCACAGGCTGCCTTTTTTGGACGGCGAGATGCTGAAGTTGTGGCTAGTTGTGCTACAAATGGATGCTAACACTCCTGTCCAGACACTGCTCACTTCTCCCAAGATGACTACTGCCAGCCGAAGAAGAGAAGACATCCAATCCCAAAACACCTCTTCCTCAAGAAAACGGCTGTCCCATGAGTAGAGAGAGCTACAGACACAGTGGAGGTAATGTTATATAAACAATGTTCGAAACGCTTAGTATGCTTTTTACCAGAGATGGGGACTCGAGTCATTGTGACTTGGACTTGAGTCGACTCGAGTCGCTGTTTTGATGACTTGTGACTTGACTTGACAAAAAATAAAAGATTTGAGACTTGACTCGGACTTGGAAGTTAAAGACTCGGGACTTGACTTGAGACACGATGACTTGAATGACTTGAGTATTATTCACATCATGTATTCGGTTAGAATATAAAATTAATAATTGAATATAAAAAATAATGTTGATTACCCGGTAGGAGCGCAGGCTGAGAATGGCGTTGTCATGATTGGATCACTACCCTGTCAATCAGTCATGCCCTCTCTACGTACCTTACGTGTTTATTGGAGAAACAGGCCCTCTTATATCAGATAGGCATCAACAGCGGGAGGGTTACCGAGAGTCATCGTCTTCAGCTTTCGGAATTACCATTATTACGGCAAAAGACGAACAGCACAGTGCAAGACATGCGGCATAAACATCTCGGACAGCCAGGCGACAACAGGTCGGTTTGGTGGAACTTGTTTTTTAATTTATTTGCTAACATTAACCCCAGAAAACGTGAGCGAACATTCCGACCGGTTCATCACAAGACCGGCTGTACGTTTTATGAACGAGCAACACAGGGTTAAATGAGCTAAATGGGTGATTTTGGCTGCTGCCATGGTTAGTGTGTGTGTGTGTGTGCGTGTGTGTGTGTGTGTGTGTGTGTGTGCGCGTGCATGTACGCCTGGGGGGCGTCCCTGCAAAGTAAACATTGCAGCGATGAAGTCAATGTTTACTGACAGTTACTTATATCTTGTCTTTTCACTTTATTAAGATCAGATTCTGCAGGTAAAATTACAATAATAAGGTGACTTGACTTGGACTTGACTTGACCTATTACAGGACTTGACTTGACTCGACATAACCTGTGACTTGACTTGACTTGACTTGACTTGCCCAAGAAAAAATGACTTGGGACTTACTTGAGACTTGAAGATTAAGACTTGAGACTTACTTGAGACTTGCACATGTGTGACTTGGTCCCATCTCTGCTATTTACAGAGATAGCAGTGGCGATCTGAACCGGTCAGTGGCGAAAAAAAGCACTTTTAATGCGCAAACTTATACGGGACGCATTTGCCCCCATTACCGTTTTAGCTCGTTCCGCGGCTGCCAGCTGCATCTGCCTCCCTCAATACTGAACCAATTTTAGAACGAGTTGTACCTATGAATCATACGCACACATACACATGGGGAAATAGGGCCCAGGTTGAAAAATACCGAAGTTGTCCTTTAAGTGTGTATGAATAAATGATGAATACCAAAGAACCACCATAAGACACAGCAAACACTGAAGTCACAACAACATTATCAGCAGCTCAGTCTTTCAGTAAAAACAGCAACACAATGTCAAGAATGATTAAAGCATGTGAAGCAGCTCTTTAATATTAAGATCAATAAAGATCTTTGTCTGCTCACATTAGCACAAACATCAGCCTGGACAGCTAATTGGATAAACCCCAATGGTGTTGAGCAATGACCAGCCGTGCCACACCAAACTGCAGTAGCTAAATGTCAACCACAGGTCTGTTAACTTCATAGAGGATGAAAGTGTACTTTGGTTTAGTTCTTGGACCAAGCTCAATAACTACCCTAACACTTTGAGGAATCAAAGCCATATTTACTGGAAGAAAAAACAGTTACCTGATCAGAAAGATCTGCTTTTTGAATGCATGAAATAAGAAGCTCTTCCTCTCCAGAGACAGAAACTGTGGTTTTGAAATGTTAAGCTTTTTTTTGGACAGAGGCAGAACTGAATGCCGATATATAAAGATTAAAGTACATATTATACAGAGACATTTCAATTGAATATCTTGGAAGGCAGCTCAGGCAGCAAGGAGGAGCTGCTCATGTGAGAACAAGGAAGGCATCTGAATATGTCCTAAACCAAAGAAAATACACATTTAGAACGCACAATCAAAGTGATAATGATATCTGTGAATCGTGTCACAAACTGCTCAGATTACTGCTACAAATTACACTTCACATCCCAAACTCCTGAGGGTGCTATGCATGCAATTCCTCAGATGAGTAAAGGGATTATGGCTTAAGTTAATTGTTACAGTTTGCTACGTTGTTCACTTAAAACAACATTCGACTAGTTCAATAATACACTCCCAGAAAGTTTTGGGACAAAGAATTTATTTTGAAAGAGACAGTGTGCAAACTGTACATTTCCTGTGAAAACAGAAATGTATTTTGAAAACAGACAATGCATGTAACAGGCTGAAGTTGACACGGCTTCCCAGAAAGTCAGCAACCAACACACCCAGGGTACCTTGCATGTCATTTCTCGATGCGGAAAGTCCATGACCAACAGTCGATATGTGACATGTTAAGAGTGAGAATGTGTTGCCTCCAGCTGCAAGACCCAGGGCATGATCAGAAATGTCTGGCTCTCACCCGAACTAACAGTTGATTGGTTTAGATATTGACACAAAATTTGGTTTTATACAAAATTTTGACATTTTGATTTTATTTGTCTGATTTGAAGGCTCATTCTGTTAACAGTTTATACATGTTGTGGATAAAAGTGATGTTTAATAGTGACCATCACAGACTAAATACAATTATATCACAGATTATAAACTATATGTAGTCTATTGTACATTAACACTGGATTGTTTTAATTATTTGGGTGTTAAGTAACATAAAGACTTGTGGTAAGTAGCATGTGAGAATTCTTAATATAACAGTTGTGATTGTGAGTAAAGCAGACAGGACTTGCTTCACTGATTAGTTGCACACAGCAGTAGTTGACAGTCTGGCTATCAGAAAGCAAAACACACCTGACCTTATATCAGCAGCACAGTCAATCGGTCTTGGAGAGAAAAATGTTTCCAATCATAAAACATAGTCAGGTGTGAGGTGACATCATTATGTAATTGTGGGCCAATAGCAGCTCAGCTCTTACACCTCACTGTGCCAGTTGCAATCTGTGGTGGAAATGTAAGCTTTTTCCTTTTCTTTACTTCTTTTTTTTTTTTTTTGCAAAATACAATCAGTACCATTTCATTGTATTTGTCATCAGCTGATGGATGAAGTGGAAAGGCTCACAACAACAACATTCATCTAGAGGCATCTATCACTATGTAACCTTGTCAAATAGCTCGATCTCTGTGGGAGAATGTGTCATGGTTAGATAATAAAGGCTAAAATAAAACTTTAACTGAAAAGAGAGCCTCCACAAGAGGCTGACAGCAATGAATACAGAGTACGTGCAAGGTAAAATGAGTAGTAATAAATGATGCCTGTCACTGGCCTGTGTAAAAAGATTAGCAGAAGGTGGCATTTAAACATGCTCAGATCCAGTCAATATCATTCATGCACACTTGATTTCCAGTGAACAACAGAAAACACAAATGCAGAAGCAGCCACATTTTACATTTTGTGGTAAATAAGGAGGACCTTGTCGGCATATTCTTGACTGGTGGTTACTAACCTGGCGGCCAACACCCTGCCAAAGGGACAGGAAATTATAAAACAAAGAAAAATGTTCTGTGCTTCAAATTTACAGTCATTCCCCTGACTTTTAAAAAGTCAATAGCTAGAGCAAAGGGTTTTATATGATGTAGAGACTGCAAAGTTGTCTGAGACAAATTTGTAATTTGGGCTGTATTAATAATGGTGTCTTGACTTCTGTGATAACTTGACTTGGGTGTCTGACCTGTGAAATAACAGCTTTACCTCCTCAGCCCTCTAACAGCTATTAAAATGAAACAAGTACAAGTATTCCTCCTTTGATAATCGCTTGCTAAACACTTTATTTCTGCCAAAATGTTGAGAACTGCATGACAAATGCTTTCCAGAGTCAGCCCGTATTACTAGCTGCCCTTTTAAGAGACTGTCCTTACAATTAAAGTAACAGCTGTTTCCTTTGTTCAAATGCACAAAACAATCTAACTAAAACGAAGAACCTTGAACATGAAGTTACTGCAAAACATCATGGAATAGTTTAGCAGTTTGGGAGATATGCTTATCCGAGTTCTTTACAAGAGTTAAAAGAGAAGAAGAGCACTACCATGTTCCAGTCTCTGTGTTAAGGATGGGGCCATAG